ACTACAATACCATCCACGCTAGGTACAGTTAACTAGTCTCTCCCTCTTCGCCACCCACTCCTTCTCCCTCCACTCCTTCTCCTCCTTCGCAAGCTCCTCCAACTCCTGCTCCTTCTTGTCAAACTCCTCGTCCTCAGAATATGTCATACGCCACCACTTCTCCCCATCCCAGTCGCTGGGCTTCCGCGACGCAGCCTCCGCCTCCAATACCCCACCATCTCCTCCCTCACCGCTTGCCTTCCTCCCCCTCTTCCTCTTTCTAGGTGGACCTTGCGTAGATAGCAGCTCATCTTCCCTCTTCCCTTTCCCAGTCCGGGAGCAATAGTGGAGGGGAATGGGCGAACTTGCACTCCTCGAGCGCTTCCTCGGAACGTAGTAGCGTCGAGCGGGGTTTTGGCTGCACGGGATGTTTTCTATGTTGTCCGATTCCAGGGTGCCTAGGGGGTCTAGGGGATCATCCGAGTCAGAGCCTGTGGTCGGGATGGTTGTCAGTGGATTGGGGAATTAAATTCTGAGGTAAGAGCTGGGGGAAGAACGAACCTTCCTCGTCTTCCGAGGGAGAGGGAGGGGGCGAGGAGGATGCCTTAACCGTTAACGAACTAGCCAGGGAGGAGGGAGATGAAGGGGGGGACTCCATTTGATCCAAGCGAAGTCGCGGGTATCTGTTTTGCGTTGGGATGGGAAAGTCGATCTCCATTTTTTGTTTGGGTGGCGGGAAGATGGTTGTGGTGTTTGTCGTGTGTGGAGCGGTAGCGTGAGAAAGAAGATGCTTAGAAGGGGGTCTGGTACTGATGTAGTTGGATGGTTGGACGGTTGGGCAGATGGAAAGGAGAAAGGAGAAGGGGGAGTGGAAGGAGAACAGATGCAAGAGTAAGAAAACACTTTGGCCGGAGTTTGTCCTATTATATTATGATACTCGTAGTGGGTTGCGCAGCTTTTGAAAGCGAATTGACGAAAAAAGAAAAGAAAAGAAAAGAAAAGAAAAGAAAAGAAAAGGGTTACCGTATTATACCTGTAAGGGTAAGGGGCAATAACGCCATGACGTCAAATCACCAACAACGCGGCTCCGGCAAAATAATCTACGAGATAGTCTAGATGTCGAGCACCGGCACCACGGCATGCCTCCTCCCCACTCGGGCGAAACAGCTAGCCGTCATGATAAATTTTATACCAGTACTCGAGCACTGGTACTCGAGCAGAAGGCCAGCAACGCTCCTCACATAAGGTTTTGGCATGAAATAATGGTATCATACATATCTATTTCCTCATCGCTCCGTCAACTTTGAGCAAATAACGTACGGCACCGCCAAGCGGGACGGCGCACGGATGCGGGACGGCCAACTACTTCAATGTCAACATATGTTCTTATCATGTAGGTCGCCCAATATTGATGTCAGAGACTTGAAAAGCATACTGAATGAAAGCGCTGAAGGAGGAGAATCCAAATGTGGTGTCAACAGGAGGGTGGTGCCTATTGCTGTTCCATGGGATATCCATCAGTGCTGAAAGTAAGTGTATTAGAGAACAGGCAGGGGAAAGCAGGATAAATGCATATGAACTGAATTAAAATAGGTAATAGATATATGAAAAGAGAGTCTTGAAACGAGTTGTTGTTCCTGCAGGTCTATGGAAGCGAAAATATGTAGTGGTGAGGTGTTGCTGGAGGCTGAAAGTGGGGTAAATTTGACTTCTTTCTTCACGTAAGTGGAAAATTATAAAAGGTTAAGCAGTGTCATCACGCTCACAGTACTAAGGCTTGCCAACCTCATCCGGAGACCCTTTCATAATCACGTCATGCCTCGAGTAAAGAACCGCCCTCAGGATCTTCAGGAAAAGCAGATCACAAATGCAATTACCGCCTTTCGTAAAGGAAACTATCCATCCATCTGTTGGGTGGAGACAACTTGATAGACTTCAAGGTTGTCTAGGCCAATCGAGATTCATTTCTGTAGACAGAGATTGTCTAGGAACGCTCGGACTTTACTCGTTTCGTTTATGACTACTAGGAGCGAAGTAAAATAGGTAAAGTAGAGTAGAATCGTAAAAACAATATTATATTGTTAACGTCTCTTCACTGTTGCTTGATGATGTCTAAAGCCTGAGAGGCACTTCGATATTTATATTCCGCGTCTGAGTGTTCGCAGACTACATGTATTTATCATCCAACTATGTACTTCTTCAATTGTAATTTACGACGTCGAGTTTTCTTCCAAGGTGTGAACACCTGTGGACCCTGAAAACCATCACACCCTCTTTGGTAATTACGATATTTCTTCTTAGGAAAGGTGCTGTCCCCAATAGTAATATTCCGATTAGCAGAATCTTTAGACTTATGGCCTAGTTCTTAAGTCGAACTGAGTTGGCCCCAATTGTCTTCGCTATTAATAAAATGATCAGTTTTATCCACAGCTATATCTGCAAAGGAGGTCATCATTACAACCATCGTAGGTCATCTGACTTCGATCCTTTGTAACTCTATACCCAACTGATAGATTTTCTCTGGATAACTTCCTATTAACTCGCAGGAAGCTATTCCACCAGATTGGTAATTAATCCCTTGGTCGGCAACCCTTGGTTGCTCTCTGGGTAGTAGGTTTCAGTAACCATTGAAGTATTGGGAATCACCCCATGGCTACGACGTGTTCCGAAACCCAGTTGCAACACTCTGTGAAGTTCATTGGCTTCTTTGGTAGTATCCTTGGGAGTTCTAGACTCTTCTAGTAGATGTAAATGTATTGGTCTCTAGTAGAGATTCTTTACCATTTGATACCATCTCTTTGTGCAAAAACGCCCTGTTACCTACAGCCCATGCCAATGGTATCATGTATTTAAAGCCAAGTAACTCTCTGAGTAGTTGACGGAAGTACTCTGTTCCACTTCCCAGACCTAGCCGAGGGTCCCTTCTCATATATCCTG